CAAACGCCCACATGGGGGTTCCGTACTGCTGCAAGCTCGTTCGCAGACAGCCGCTCCAAGGTAAAGTTCAACTCCCTTGCGTTATCAAGACGATATGTATTCCCTTGTCCAGGGCCATCATGCCGTCTTCCTATGAAGTCATCACCAGCTGTTCCAGAACAGACTCGCAATGCAAGCGACAAATCAGCAAAAGGCTGGCAGTCTGGAAAAAGATCGCGTACTCTCACATAGCGGTCCCAACCTGACATGTTCACTAAAAGCATGTCGCCTATCGGCAAGCAGCCGTGCGTGAACCACGCTTGCATCTTTGCAGTACAAAAAGGCCCGAACTCATTGCCTACCCTATCCAGGTAGTACCATTGAGGCCTTGCATGGCTAATTGGCGTACCACCTTGGGTACTGGGGCTCGACAACATGCCAGCGCTGATGCTGGAGATTTGGGCCCTGCAACTTTCAACCCTTGAGCCAAAATGGCTACGGACCCCAAGTAAATCATATACAAACAAACCCTAAACCCTAAACCCTAAACCCTACTCCCCACTTGTGGGGGGAATGTAACTTTTTTGTCTCGCCTCGCAACCTACGGCTGCGATCTAGCAGGCTGGAGATGCAGCTGAAGCTGCTGAGACCAAATGGGTGTGTCCAACCTTAAGGATCCCTTAGGGTTGGGGTTTAGGGTGTAGGGTTGAGGGTTTAGGGTTTAGGGTTTATTGGTTTAGGGTTTAGGGCGTGGGTTTAAGGTTTAGGGTTTACAAAAATCCTGGTATGTTGGCTGTATAGAACTGGGACCCCTGTTTGTGGAAACACCCGAATCTGGATCAGTGGCTGATAGCGGGTGTGGCGGTCAAGGGGATGGGGCCAGAAGGGCTTGTAACACAGCTTAAAGTTTATTATGGGTTCAACTAGTACCCCCCTCTTTACTACTCCCCCCTAGGTTCCACCCTTAATTAAGGTTATTTAAGGATAATTAGGCTTAATTAAGGTTAATTAAGGGGGAACCTAGGGGGGGTGGTATAGAGGGGGGTACTAGTTGAACCCCTGTGCTTTGCCTTTGTGAAGCCTTGTACACCCGAGTATGGGGAAGTGTGGTTTAACAAAAGCCCGGTAGCTCTTTGCTGCAGGCACCAGGAGACATTACAAATCTTTTTTCTACCCCTTTGATCTACATGACTGCCGGAGTACAGTTATAGGCCATCGCGAAGGGAAGGTGCTTCAGTGCTTTGGGCAAATCCAGTTTCCACCTAAGTGGCGAATTTCGCAAGACACTGATCCAAACATCCACCAGCAGCGCCACGCTGACTGCCTAGCCAATACTGAAGACCACATGAAGTCCAAGGCACTAACCATAGGTCGCTAACCTGGGCACCTTCCTGTATGAAGCTTAGAAGAAAGGTATATGACGATTCCAAGGTTGTTTCCTTCTTAAACCTTACCAGCAATCAAAAACACAAGGTCGCTCTGAAAGCAACAGGTGTAGTTAACCTTCCCTTACTGTGTCGTAAAGTGGTACCGGGGACAAACACGGGGATTTCTCCAAATAGGTGTACCCTGGGAACCGCAGAGATATATAGCGATCATAGGATCGCCCTTAGAGATTATGAAGGGGAAGAAACTCCTAGGACTGCGGTTGCAGTGTTGTATACGCGGGGTCCCAAGAATCATTCCAGGGGTTCGGTCGAACCTCCATTAAGCATCACTTACATCCTAGGCCCTTTTAAACCTGAATGCTATAGCCTAAACCCCAAACCTTTAACCCCAAACCTTGAACCCAAACCTTGAACCCAAACCCTCAATCCTAAACCCTAGACCCCAAGCCCGACACCCTACGTCTCAAACTCTACATCCTGAATTGTAAACCCTAAAAGTTGGTCTCTGATAGGGGCAGTCGGACATGGCGAAGGAGTTCCAGGTGGTATCTACGCAGAACTAAGGCCTGAGAGGAATTGAGGGAACCACCGTTTACGCTCTTAGCATCGTGGATCTGGGGCTTAAAAACCCGGGGCTTACGGCTTGGGGTTAAGTGTTTAGGTCTTCGGGTTTAGGACTTAGGGCTCAGGGTGTAGAATGTTAGGGTTCAGGGTTCTGGGATGACACACCTCAAGGATTCTGAGATTGGGATAAGAACATGTGGGTCCAAAGTTGGTGGTGTAGCTTTGAGCTTTCAGCATGCGCCTTGAAGTTCCCTACGCCCTTAAATCCTAAACACCCCTAAACCCTAAGCATCCCTAAACTTTAAGCATCCCCATGCCCTAAGCAGCCCTAAACCCTAAGCATCCCTAAGCCCCAAACCGTAAGCCCTAAACCCAACAAAGACTAATCTGGTGGTCCCCGGGCGGGAGAAAGGTTCACACGGCAAGGATCTTCTTTGGTCCCCTTGGCTGCTCAAGGTTCAGGATTTAGGCATAGGGCTTAAGGTCTTAAACCCATCCTTGCAGGATCACGGGATGTAGGATGGATTGGCGGAGAATGCAAGACTGGATTGGAGCTACAACTTGGATGACCACTATCCCCGTCAAGATTGTGATCTGTATGACTTAGCCCACATTACCCTGGGAAGAAAAAAAGGATCCTCATTCACATGAGTATAAAAGGACGAAAAAACATAAAGGATCCCTAACATTGCTCCAGATTAGTAAAGGCTTATCTTTTGACATGATTTTGCCCCTACACGTCCGCAAGCAGCTAGACCACGCAGGTCCCCACAATAATACCAAACACTTCCGAAACCCAGAGCAAAAAAAACAAAAATCAAAGAAGACTTAATCACCCCGGGCCCTGGAAACATCGAAGCGTTTTGATATCAGGTATGTAGAGAAACCAGAGTTCAATCTGAAAAAATCTAAGCAGCCTTATCTCGTACTCTGAGCCGTCGTCACTGCAATCTTCGGCGAACGGTTCAACTTCCTGGGCTGATCTTTCTACGGTCAAGGTTGTAGGATGGAGGGTGTCTTTTTGAGGCATTGGCACAATGAAAGTGAACTGTTCAAATGCTTGCTGAGCTTTGGTATCTCTTTGTGGTTTCTGACTTGACTTGATTTTGGGATACTGGCAGAAGATCTGAAACTTGTAAAATACTCTTATCGATATCAAATAGAACAAACGCAGACCAACACATTCCACGATGGCACAATGGCCCAGGTGCATAGAAAATAGTCCCTTGACACAGGGCTATGTGAGCTATAGTCTAAACTCATAGCATCCCCATTCATAGCCCCTATAGTACTCCCTCTATGATCCCCTATATATCCTGAAGGAGTTTGGGTTATTGCTCATGTAGGGTCGGATGTTAGTTTGGGGGAGTATAAAGCTGAGTTTAGGTTTGAGTGTATGGAGCTCCGGGTTTCTGTTAGAAGGGCTGGGTTTAGGGCTTGGTCCGGTCTAACCCAGCAGGTTCAGGGCTTAGGACGTATGCTTCGGCTTCGTGTTTGAAAAATGAAGTTTCATAGTTCCAGTGCTGCACTGAGGGGCCCTTTCGTGGAACTAGACAACATGTGTGAAAGATTTTTGGCGCAAGTAGGCGTGTTGGGTGCTGCTGGTGCTGCAGCCAAAGAAATGTCTCCGTCCAAATTCGTCGCGACAAGAGCCTGCCTTCGAATTCACGTTCAACACCAAATCCTAAATGAGCCATTGTCTAAACTCCTAGTATCCCTCTTAATAAGCCCTATAGTTGTCCCCTATATAATCCCTTATATAACCCCCCTTTAAGGAGTTTAGACCATAGCTCAAATAGGGTTTAGGGTTTGGGGGTGCTTTTTCAGGGTCTGGCCCGGCACCGCAAAACCTAACCCATAGAACCCTAACAAGTAAACCTTGAAGCCTATTTTCTGAATACGTGCTTTACTGATGTCCGCGTTTGCTGCCCGGTGACAGAGCAGCCCCTACATACCCCCGAAATCCTATGGACCCTGCGAAATTTAGGGCTTAGGGCTTAGGGCTTTGGGCTTCAGATTCAAGACACTACCTTCCCTTGAAACCTGCCTCAAATCGTAAAAGTCCTACGGTTTGTCAGATTAAGAGACTGCCGGGGCCCAAACGAATGCAAAAAAACAACTTCTGGGTAGATTAGAGTTCAGCTACATACGAGATATGTGAGAAAAACCTTGGTAATTATTTCAGGCTTCCCCATTACCCCTATGAACCCTAAACCCTAAACCCCCAAGACCCTAAACTCGAACTTCTAGCTCTCAGAAAAAGCGTAGCGTCTTCAGGTTGGAAAACATTCATGTGATTAACGTCCGAGAGCGGAGAGGCGGTCTTCTTATCCTCTGATCGGAGGTCGGAGGGTTTAGGATTTAGGACTCAGGGGGGTTTTGGGGTTTCAGGGTTTTAGAGCTTAGCGGTTTAGGGTTTAAGCTTTAGGGTTTAGGGTGGGAGAGGCTTTCCCTATCCCACTCTATGGCCTGGTTGAATGCTTAGGGCTCAGGATTTGGGGTCAGGGGTGAAGGGCTCATTGGTGTTTGTGTCAGGCCCCCCCTCCATATAAGCGTTTTTAATATCATTTACATAAGGAGTGATGGACTTGTCTGGTCCTCGCTGCTCGTCAAGGAGTATGGGATCCCTTCACCAACCCCTATACTGTCCCCCTTAATTAAGCCTACTTAGGGGTAAGTAGAGCCAGACCAAAACCTATATGATTAAGCCTAGGGGTAAGTAGAGCTAGACCCGCCCCTATACTTTCCCCCTTAATGAAGCCTACTTAGCGGTAAGAAGAGCTAGGGGGGTACCAGGGGAATCCACACAAGGATGGCTTTCATAAGTTCCCGCTGCACGCCACACGCCACTGTAGTGCAGGCTTGCTTGACAGAGGACTAATCCCCTCACCCCGAAATTAATAGTATATTTGGGTTATGTGGAGATAATGGAATAGGAAATCGAAACTACTATAGTATCTTGGAGTTATATAGGGACAATGGAAAAAGAATCCCTGCGCCCCCGAAAATCGAGTTTTCCCACAATGTTATATTGCAACATATGTTGAATAGTTATCGTTACGGGGGTGGGGAGTACTAATTTTAGCGGGAGGGGATTGGCTAGTGCAACGTCTTGTCCATCATGTGGTACTAATTCTGTATAATTCCCTTAGACCCACCATAAAAGTAACTTGCACAAGCTTCTTGGGGTTATGCAAGAATAGTATGTATGAACTACTGAGAATGCCTACGCAGATAGGAGAACGGATTTGCTCCAGTGGATTTGCGCTCTTTGTTGACTTCTCACAACTTGCATCCCTGGAAATTCAGGGATGGATGTTTAGGGTTTAGGGTTTAGGGTTAAGGGGCCCTTTATAAATTAGATTTTCGTGGCTGTAGAGCGATGATATAAGGATGTTGGCTTACAATAAGTTTAAAAGAAAAAAACATTCCTTGGAAAATCCCAGTGACTTGTTGAAATTACCGAAAGCTGCTGTTGACTCAGCTAGGGTTTAGGGTTTAGGTTTCCTGAACAGCCTCATGTGGTGTGAAACTTCCATATCGGGACACACCAAATTTGCTTGGCCTGTGCTGTCGAAAACTTGTTTCAGCTTCATTTCATGTCTGGCTTCCCTCTCCGTGTTGACCCATCCAACATGCATGTTTGAGATGGTCCAGCAAGTGTTCGAACTACCTGGTCCACAGATTTCGAAGAATTTGCGTTTTGGATTGGAACCTCCCTTTAAGAAGATGTTGCCGACTTCTGAGAACCTTCCTTTGGAACAACCCTCAGGTGTTTGTTGCGAAATCGCGTCTTCTTGCATGCCTCCCATAACCACCACACGCCAGGCAAAAAGCCCGCAAAAGAGGGGCTACATGTTTGGATAAAATGGAAAGGAGAGCGGAAAAAAAGGAGGACGTAGGAATTTCTCACATGTATTAGACCGGTCTCCACATACTGCCTGTGGATAAGACTCGACGATTTCCTGACACTTCTTCTACTTCTTCTGTCTGACACGTCTTGGAGAAGGTCCCACCCAGACAGAACGTGCTTCGGGAAACATGTGAGCTGTTTAGAGTATAGCGCATGTGGTCCAGGTATACAGTTCTTGGGGTATGAGCTATAGAAGGTTGTGCAAGACTTCCTACCCGGGCCTTGAAACCCCAATCGCCGAGGCCTTTAAACCTTGCAGTTGATAGTGGTGCTTGTAATCCAGCCATAGCCATATTGCGAGATTTGGGGATGATCATTGGGTTAGAAGTAAGAATTATGACTAGGTTGGAACTTATCTAGACCCTACGTAATAAACCTCCTCCCCTAATGGGGGTTTAGGGATCCCAATATCAAGGCCCTTAAAAGGAGAGGGTTTATGAATCATGGGTCTACATTACTTTGAACCTGCAAGTACACCGGCATCCTCTGCTTCGCACCCCATGCTTATAGCTGCCATGCCGCGGTGCTAGGATGGCCCGGCAACTGACTAGCGTCCTCCTCCGGGGGTCAAGGTTTGAGTTACACGGTTCAGGGTTCTGGGCTCAGGGTTTCGATTTACCAGGCGTCTTCCTTTCATATCGCTCTTGTCCCCAGATATGAACATCAGTGCGGCGTGAGAAAAATGCTGGGCAACATGTGCGGTTGAGGTTAGTCTGCAAAGTGGCTCTAGGGTTTGGGTTTAGACTTTTCCCGCCTTTGTTTGAATGTAGAAACGCTTGCACGGGTGCTTCCAAAAAGGTAACTCTCCTTACCATAAGTACTTCAAACTGCATGCATGAATGGGGGATTATGGGAACTCCAAAAAATGGCCCCGAACTTGTGGAGGCCCCCATTGCTCTCTGCTATCATGCAGTCAGATGTTGAGAGCTGGGAGACTGATTGTCATTGGAAAAAATATTTGGGGGTTTCTCAAAATTAAGGATACCTTTGTGGGGGGGTACGTATAACAAGGATTATAATATCTGGGTTCTATATTGGGGGTCCCCTATGTTGGCAAACTACTAGTTAGCTCTCGTAAAGGAATCCCAACAGGCATAAGGACACCCCCAACCCTGAAGAAGGCCTATTAGTCACGGTGTCCTTAAGAGGTGTAAGGAGTCCTCAAGTAAGGGGTGGTTGCAATTTTCCCATTATACTTGAAAGGCATCTGTCCCTGGCTGGAGTCTTAGCTTAACCGCACATTTGGCTTAATCACTAACTAACTTAAATTGGGCTTAGGGTTTAGGGTTTAGGGTTGGTGTTAGGGTTAAGGGTTTAGGGTTTGGGGTTTAAACCCTTATTGGGGGTTCCCATAATAAGGATTATACTATATTTAGGTCTATATTAGGGTCCTCTTATTTGGGGAAATGACCATATGGGAAATACAGGGAAAGCATAGGGGGTGCCTCGTAAGGTATGTATAGAGTAGATTCTGACAACTATCCATACAGGACTTTCTCAAAATGAGCAACTCAACTAAGGACTTTAAAGCCTGAAACATACTTTCCCTACATCCTAAACCCTAAGACTTTGGAACCTAAACCCTTAACCCTAAAACGGAGGACTTTAGAGCCTGAAACATACTTTCCAGCTCCTTTTGGTGCTCGCAGTCTTGGGGGTGAGGACATGCTGAAGGGCTGCGGGCAGCCAGGGGTTGAGGGAAACGTGGATTAAGGCTTTAAGGTTTTAGGGTTTAGGATTTAGGGTTTTGGGGTTTAGGATTTAGGGTTTTAGGGTTTAGTATTTGGGGTTTAGGATTTAGGTTTGAGGGTTTAGGGTTTAGGATCTAGGGTATGGGGTCTAGGGCTTAGGATTTAGAATTTAGGATTTAGGGTTTAGGATTTAGGGTGTATTTAGGGTTTAGGGCTTAGGGCTTCAGAGTGACAAGCCCCGTCCGAAACTAGACTCTCATCACCAAGCCCTCACTGCGCCGATACGGGTAGTTCCCAAAATCAGGATCGCGTTTTGGTACCCCTAAATGGTAGGTGCCATAATATGATCTATAGACAAAAAGGGACCAGAATTTTGTGAACAAAACACTTGCCAAAATACCCGCCTTTGTTAAGTTTGCTAAGGAAAGTTGAAAAGGTCGTCCTACCAGTCTGCAGAGTCGTCCCTTTTCCACCCGCGCTTCAAAGGGAAACGATCGACCCCTTGGCCCCTTCTGTGCCTACAAGGGCACTCCAGCACCGCTAAGACATCACAACTATTCGTAAATAGATTGAGTCATGGGTCTTGGGTAGACTTTGCATGTTGATTTAACATAGAGGGAAACCCTGGAGCAACTTGGCTGCAGTCCCAGTTTCCCTATGTTCTATCTACTATATCGTCGGAGGTTGCCAGCCGAATACCGCAAACAAAATGAACCATTTGGATTTTAGAGTGGCTGAAGTCTTGGCTGTATAGTCCCCCCTTAAGTAGATAGAATATAGCTTTAGGTATATTACAATAAGATCCCCATATACCCCATATTCTATCTAGTTAAGCGAGACTATAGGTTTGCCAGTTCTCGGGGCGTTTGGTGTCGGACTAAGAGGATACACGTTGGGTTTTGTCACAGTACAAGGGCTCCCTGTGTTTTAGGGGTGTTCCAGCACCCTATCTGTGAGAGACGTAATCTGGCAATAGCGTGCTGGCTAGAGCGTTTACTGTCCAGAGGCCCCCTCATGAATCCCGAGACCAAAGCGACACCAAAATCAAATTAGCATTAGGCATATTTGATGGTTAATACTTGTGCCTTGGTATTTTTGTACATGTATATATAATTATGAGCATATGCATGTGTGTGCTTTTAGGGTTTTGGCCCTAGGTTGCATGATAAAAGTTGGGCCTTCTTGATGCTATGCAGAATAACCCTCCACTGAGGAGGTGAAGTAGGCTTACTAGCGAAACGGAGTTTCGGGTCTAGGGTTTAAGGTTTGGGATTTAGGGTTTCGGGTTTGGGGGTTTAGGAATTAGGGTTTAGGCCCTAAACCCTAAACCCTTTAGGCTTGGGCATTGCCAGCGAAAATTATTCTGATTCACTCACAAGCTTGGGAACTCCGTTAGGGATGCTATAAGGATCTATGACTCCATCCCCCGCACCCTAGACCCTAAACGCAGAGCCCTAAGCCCTAAACCATAACCGGGCTATGAAAATTATAGGCCTAAACCCCAAACCCTACAGCCTTAAATCCTCCCTAGATTTTGGGGCTTCTTGTAGCAGCATTCCAGGGGCTACATAGCAAGCCGAATGCCAAAGAGATAGCAGATACCCTGCCTAGTTGGGAACGGGGAGGAATAGATCTGCAAAAATCGTCCTTACACTTACACGAACCCTCATATTCAGCTCACATTAGTATTAAAGCAAGCCAAGAAAGCTTCAGAAGTACCCCAACAAACCAGGGCTGCAGCTGGAGTATCTCGAATTTACAAAGATCCTGAGTATTCCGCGACATAGGACGCGCTTAGTATTGCTCTTCTCGGATCTCTTTGCTGTAGGCAGGCAGAACGAAGGCCATACCGTCTTCGCCGAACTTGATTTCAGTGTCGCGCTTGCCCGCCACCTTCTCGATGGGCTCCCGGTAATATGTGGTCAGGAGGCGCTTCATGAGGAAGTTTGTTGGTGAAGGTACCTTTGGCCGCTTGAAGAGTCCTAGAATGGAGGGCCTAATGCTTCTGGATATGTTGAGTGAAGCAATAAAGTAAGCATGCAGGCCATGCTGGAGCTCATCCGACAATCTACTTCCAGAAACGATAATATACTATAATATACTATAACATACTATGATATGGTATAAGATACTATAATATACCCATAACATACCCGTAATAGCCCTCATGTCATCAGAATTGAGAGGCTCAATCAGCTGGCCCAAGGCACCATGTGGATGGGAACTACGAGACTTGGCCGCGACTCTTTGGCAAGCTCCACAAGATCCGAGGGCGCCGAATGGTAGTCAATGGTGTCCATCAGCATCTTTGAAACTCGCTTGTACTGGGATCCCCCTTCCTGCGACTGATTTGAGGATGCCAATACAAAATGCACTGCACCCTCAACCTTAAACCATATGGATGTGGTCTGGGGATAGGAGTGGGGACAAAAAGGTATGCCGATGAACGAATTCACTGCTAAATCAGCAGTTCCAGCTTCATCATCAGGTATTCCCATATCCTGGAAGGTAGCTGCTGTCGCCGTGATGACCTGGAGGTTTTCTATCCCATCTGGGATTCAGAACCCTAAACTCCTAAACCCCTGAACCTTTAACCCCAAACCCCTAAATCCTAAAAACCCTAAACTCCTAAACCCCTAAGCCCCCGGTACACGAGGGGCCCTAGGGATAGACGGGTGTTTAAAGATTCCGGCTCATACAAGGTTAAGGGTGTTGGGTTTAGGGGCTTAGGTTGTTTAGGGTTGAGGGTTTAGGATTCAGTGTCTTTCAAACTTTTGGCTTCTACTTTGGAAGTCCCTAGACCTAGCAACGAAAGGCGTAGGGCGGAGGTTTCCATGTTTAGAGTTTACAGGATTTGGGGGTCTACCAGTGGGACCTCTTTCTGAGGGAAAGCCCAGAAGATCACGCATAATTTTGAGATGCGCCCACCTTGTGATGAATCGCATCCAGGACGCACACATCTACATCACGGCATGCGTCCTTGTGCCCGCGCGACATTACCGAATCTCCTCCAATCACCACAGATCGGCCCTTGTATGACACCTGGGCGCTCTATGGAATGATTAAGGTCTTTCCTGCGCTTATAAGCACCAAGCCCTGAACCCTGGATCATGTAACATAAGTTTAAAACATCTTTCTACAAGGATGAAGGCACCTTGTAGCCCACAGCCGGGACCACCGGCTCATGATGGGCGCGGAAGGCCTGTACCTTCGGGGAGCTCAGAACTTCTTGCTAATCTATGGGTCTAAAGGGTACAAGAAGTTTTGGGAGCATACGATACTATCGCTCTGCTCCAAAACGCCTATTGCACCCAGCACCCCTAAAACCAAATCCCTGAATCTCAGATACCTTGAGGTCGCCCTTCTCGTAGACATCCAGCCTCAGTCTTTGTCGTTTTGGGCTTAGCGCTGAGGCTAGAAAGGCCCGCAAGAAAAGCACAGGGCAGTCCACAAAAAAGGCGCAAGACAAGCACGCTACAATCTATAATCCCCTTTAGGTAGATGGCTTTGGGTATAAATTAGAAGCAGATGCCCATACACCCCATATTCGATCTACTTAAGGGGGACTTTACCTTAAAACACTCCAGACCCTCCGACCCCAGGCACCGGGTCCTGAAGCTCCCAACCCCGACCTCTAAATCACAAAGCCACAGCCATTACTATCATGATCAATACTAGTGTGACTATTAGTGTTACTATTTCTATTGCTACTGTTATTGCTAGTACTACTGCTACTATTCTTACGACTATGATTACTACTTTTGCTACTACTTAGGAGGACCCGCCACCCTGTAATAGTGCTAAGTATAGGAATATAACAGGACCCCAATAGAGTCCTCATTAGAGTCCTCATTAACTTACAGCCAC